GACCACCAAGAGTCTACCTGTTGGTACAGTCGGAGCTAGGCCAGAAGAACATCCTTCAAAAACATGAGATCCTCCGTCAGCCAAAACAAACAGAACATCCAGGGGCCAGCCCCCCAGGATGCACAAGAACATCAAACTGTGTTTATTGGGAGTCGGCCGAGGGGCCGTTCCTATACGGGGTCCGCCCGGTACTCAGGATGCGTGCACAAATCTCACAGTCAGGATGCTTGGGACTGTGAGTGATGTAGTGCGATGGGTCGATGGGAGGACGCGGTCTGCCAGGTAGGACAGGCGTTGTTGTGACCGTCGGCGCACCGTCAAGCGAAGTCGAATCGACACGATTCGTCGTCGATGCAGGTGTGACCACCGGCGCCATCGCAGCAACCTGGTGTCGTGTACACACGAGAGGGGATGTATCGATAGGATTCGGCGTCGATGCAGGTGCGACCACCGGCGCCATCGAATCAACCTCGCGTCGTGCACATGCGAACAAAGTCGAAGCGATATCTTCCTGTTTCCGCGCACGTCGGCTGCATCGTGATGCAAGGGATGCAATGCGCAAGTCGGGAGGCGGAATCCATTGCAGATTGTTGAAGTCGAGTTCGGAGATTCGGTTGCTGACGTTGACCTTGTACCATCGACCGCGAGGGTCTTGTAAAAGGTAACCGAGTAAGTTGAGGATCCCAGTGCTGTCTGAACCGTATTCCTGTACCAATTGCCCCACAGAGATGGGCAATCCGTCATAGCCAGGGTCGAGCTTGAGAGGCAAATATGCGGTAGTGATAGCTGGATGTGCTCGTTGACGACGCGGTCGCCATTGGCTGTCTCGAGGATGCGTTCCAGTCCTCGTCGTACTCGAGTGGTCTCGCGCGGTTGGATGTCGGACTTGTCTTGTATGTGATGGTCAGAGCCGCTGTCCAAGATCCACGTCCGTGACAACGCCGCCGTAGACCGTGGGACCGTCGGTGTAGATGTTACCACCGACGCCCTGGTATTAGTCGGAGGCAGATCTGATGCCGTAGTCGAGAGGGAGGGCCGTGTGAGCTCGTCGTGCAGGCGTCGGGCCTCCGCCTATGTGGTACGGAGCGCACGTGCACTGGCCTGCAACCACCACTCAGGTAAACAGTCAGGCACCTCGACTTCGTCACCTCTGCAGTAAGATGATTCCGTCCACTTGTACATGTTATGTTTCAATGCGTGGGTGGTGGTGTCCACATTGTCGAGGTCGAGGCGGATATTCCGCTGTGCCGGGTCGGACAGGAGCAGCATCCGCTCGCGAGAAACATAAGTGCGATCACGTCGTCGATCGCATCGGCCTGCAGCGGGAGACCTGGCACGATCACGAGTAGATGGTGATCGGCTGTTGCGGTGGGAACTAGAACGGCCGCCGGCCCCATCGCTTCCGGTAGGGAAGCGGCCACGGGAAGATCCCCGATGAGAGGGTCGCGACGAGGAACGGGAGCGTTGCGGGGAGCGGGGTGGCGAGCCGCGACCCCCCGGACCACGTGAGTCGGAGCGCCCCCCCGCGCCCTGGCGACGGCGATCCTCGTCGTGATCAACGCGTACCCCCCAGACTACGGGAGCTGCGCCGGCCCTTGTAGGGCGACGGCTTCTGGCCCCCCGCATGTCGCGGAGAGGGCGCCCTGTCGCGGCTGTCTTTGCTGCGTGGCCGAACAGGGCTCCGAGAGGGAGTCGTAGCGCTATGGATAATGTCGCATTGCGGCAGCTGTTTCCGTACTTGCACGTTAGCTTCGGATCCGCATAGAAGGTGCATGTCGGTATGCGTGGGTACTTGCAACGATCTTGGAGTGGGCAGACTCCTTGTCTGGCAAAAGCGAAGCAAAAATTCTGCTTGGGTTTATTTTTCGTCGGTGGGCCAGAAGAGCGGCCAGTCGAAGGTCGTCTCTCATGGGTGTCCCTGTCGCGGATAGGTGATCGTTGTGGGTCGTGGGGTAGGTCGGCTGCTTGCTCCAGTATGCAACAGTTTGCACCGTTCACCATTCTTGCACCTTCCAATCTTGAACGCTGCGCAAATCACAGAGTCGTGTCGGCTCGATTCGTTTTTGAGGCTGTGCTGATTGCGCTCAAGTCGGTGGAGTTCTAGGTTGTCTAGAACACGTTGCTCGTATGTTATGGTGGGACTGGCGCGAGCCATCTTGTCGTAGTCGTGCATATCCTGCTTCATCAGGTAGTGTCGTCGTATCTGGGCTCGGAATAATGATTCGAGTATCCGCGCGTCGGGTGGTTCGCGGCATTCCAACCATAGATTGCCCCAGTCCACGATAAACCGTTACAGGTCATCACTCCGCATGCGCAGTAGTTGTAGACGTTCGGAGTCGCGCAGTGTGTCGTCGACTGCAGTGACCCTGTAAGATTGTAGTATCGTCCTGTAGATTTGTCTACCCTTTAGCATGCGGCCAGCTTTGTGTTCCTGAGCACTGTTCTTGATGTGGTAGCGCAGCTCAAACTTGAGAACGGCGGCGAGCCCGGCTGCGACTTT